TCCATCTGCTGAGTCCCACTGTGTCTCGATGAGGAGTCTGGGTAGCACCTCCACACAGCAATCCGGACAGATCAAAATATCCATTACCTTTACTGGGGATACCAGCAGGGTCCCAAGAACCTCCGCAGTTCCAGGCACATGTCGTGGCTTATCTCGTCCTCGTCCTTCCCAACAAATTGGGAGCGGTTTTGGCTTCAGGCAGTTATAGTTGACTTTGTCCCATTCCAATATTTCACTCTCCTCTGACAGGATTCCTTTTTTGGCGCTGTTCAATTTCCTGAGGGCCCTTCCTGCCCATAACCCTAAGGGTGTTCTTCTGATTACAACCACTCCTTTTACCGTGGCCAGTTCGATGTAGGGTGGAATGTCGCATGGTCCGCTGGCCATTTCACCGGCTTCTGGTTACTTTAGTTAGGAACTGGCTTCAATTGCTCAACTCCTTGGATCCCCTTTCTTTCTAGCAATACTGTATTCCTGTCCAGTATTTGCTTCACTGTATCTGATGTTTCAAACTTTGGTTTCACTGCTGCGTTCACAGGCTGTTCTCTAGCTTTCACCCACACTTTCTGTCCCACACGAAATGGCACTTTGGTCGTCAGCTTCTCCTTTTTGTCGTTGGAGCTCCGCCCTGCTTCCTTCGTGGTGAACGGTCATTGGTTAAGCTCCATTGAAGGGGCGGGTCTACCAATTCGACGTCTGTCATTCAGGGCTTGCCCAATCTCCACCGCCTTGGTGCTCCAGCTGTTGATGTTAGCATTTTTAGCTATCCAGTTCTTAACCAGTCCAGTGGTGCGTTCAACTATCCCGTTGGCTTGTGGGGTGTAGGGCGGTGAGTAAACTCGCATTATTCCAAATTTCTGACACCACTGTCAGAAATTTGCGAGTTACGGAACTGTGTCCCATTATCCGTCCGCAGCTCCTTCGGAACTCCCAGGGAGCTGCACACCTGCTCCAGCATGCCGACAACACTGCTACCGTTCGCTCTCCTGGTCGCCTTCACGATGACAAATCCCGACATAGAATCCACAAGCACCAGGAGGTATCTCTCACCTTTTCTCCCATTCACTCCCATGGGGCCTGCCACATCCATGCAGATTGAGCCCCAGGGGACGGTGCTCTTGATGGTCAACCCCTACATACGCTGCCCTCGGCAGCCTGCGTTGTATTGACCACATACCTCACAGCCCCTTAGCACGCGCTGGACCTCTCTCACCGGGATCCACAGGTTTTGTTCCACCAGTTCCTCACGTGTAGGTCATACGCCTGTATGTCCTAAGGCCTCATGCACGTCTCGCACGACCTCCTCCACATGTTCTTCTGGTCTTGTAACTGCAGCGTTATATTTAGGTGTTTTCTGTGGTTCTCTTGATTGGCGCCAAAGTGGTAACTATAAAACATCTTTTGGTTTAGCTGAGTCCATGTCTCAAACCCCTCTCCGTACAGAATAACTCTTACCATAGCTGTCTGGATCAGGGACTTGGACAGGGGTGGTTCTTTGCTTGTTTCCTGGCTTTGCCCTCCTGGGCCATGGTCATCACTTCTTTGTGGGATTGCTTCCATCTGTTTGACGTATGAATGCGCGTCGTCCTCCTCGTTCTCCATGTTGTCTTTTGTCCTCGAGTTGCCTGACCTCAAAGCCTCTCTAGGTACCTTAGAGCAGGGATGGGTTCAAGCTATTTTGGCTACTAGCTGCACTGCTTGAACGTGGTCACTGTCCACAGTGAGCTCTCCTCACCTACACTCTGTGTAGTTACTGCGAGGGTGGTGACTGAGGCCTTTCAGTCACCAACAACTCTACCCCTGTAGAGCTGCTACTAGTAGGTTGTTCGGAGCTCTTCCCCCACCTACTTCCCTAGGGCTCCGCCTCTTCTAAAGAGTCATGTCCCTGTTTGGGCGCCACAAATGTTAATGCACAGTACTCAGCCACGCCCCTAACTCCTCCCAAACTCTAGCGGACTGACTACTGACCAGCTCTCCATCTCACGGGTTCAAAAAGCCTCTAATTCCTGGGTATTACCGCAAATAAGAATGTAGAGAACTTTTGTTTAAGCTGGGAGCGAGAAAGATTCGTCTAAGCTCTAACTACCTTCATCCAGACGTTATAACCCGCTTCAGTCCAGTAGCCCCGCCGGTGTCCGAACTCATAAACCACGTCTGTTCACGGCAGCTCTTTCTCTGTTTATTAACGTGCACTTGTTACCAGCTTAGATAATTTTAGCGACTAGGAATAAGTCCCAGGGTCATTATTTATCTGAACTAAAGAACGTATGAAGCCACCCTAATTTACTAGGACCATTAACATTGATTTCACATTAATCAGAAGAATTAAACTTAGTTGACTCAATTAATTTAACTGTCCACAGCATCAAATTAGACTTTAGTATTTTTATTAGCAAGCTTTAGCAAGGGAAAAGGACATACAGCATTTCAATAAAAAAATAAGAAAATAATACTTTAAAGAATTTTTAGAAATCACTCCTAATTCTAACCCTACACTGTGTTCTTATCTAAATAGAGGCTTTGGGGGAGGCAGTAGTACTCGAACCCAGATGCAGAGACGATCTTGGCAGCAGAGAACTTTAATGTCCATGGATGGAGTCCTGTCTTTGTCTTGGCAGAATCTTTTTAGAATAGATCCAAAGATGAACTGGTGAGAATCCTCAATAAACTCAGTTCTTTATCCAAATACGATCATTGTCTATTCCCCATGTCCACTGCAGCATCATTGTAATCTTTTGGGTTGAGCGTGGGGCCGCAGTCGAATCAGAATCCCGGGTTGTTAACGGATCTTGTTCCTTTCCTGTGCAGCGAGCAGTCTCATCGTCCCGGGGTATCAGCATGCAGCCCTCCGTGGATTCTCTCCATGTGGGCTCGACTCGAACGCTGCAGAACAAAGAACCTCGATCCTCCTGTCTGGTGTCTTTTTATTCTTCTCAGCAACCGCCCAACTCTTTCAATTCCTCTTTTTTGGTCGTGTACATGTCAGCAGCCTGCACAGCTGCGTCTTGGTTGGCCTCCACCCTCAGATGAACTTCCTTGTTTTTTAGAACTGAACTTTCTGAAGTTCTCTATTTGCCTTCTGCACCTGTTTCCTTCATGCATCTCAAAACTCCCACTTCCTGTTTCTTCCGTACTGACTGTATTTCTTTTATCATTAGAACAAGGATTACATATCTTTTTATCATCATTAATTCATATAACTTTACTTACAGTAATACAAGAATCACCAACATTAATCATAATACAATATTACTTATCTCTCAGGCTATTGTGATCGTTTCGTGTGTGCTCTGGTAAGATCTCAACCAGGTTTCACGACAAGTCAGAATGGTTGAGGTTGACAACTGACAATGGATCAACCATCAAACTATCATCCAATTCTAGCCAAGTAAACAATGTTGATCTCACGGGGTGTGGTGGTTGCGGTGAGGAGAGACGCTGAGACCCAGGTATGGTGATGAATAAGATGTGTTTAATGATGAATATGCTCGAAAACAGTCCAAGGCAGGCAGCACGGCAGAAAACAAGCACGCAGCTAAATACCGGTAGCAACTGACAAAACGGACAAGACGGGAGCAAGCACAAACCAGGACTTAACAGTTCTACTGGCGAGTACGGACAACAAACTTAGACATTGACAACGACAAGGATCCGACGACAAACACAGACAACAGGTGGGTTTAAATACACACGGGGTAATCAAGGGAATGAGACACACCTGGGAAACAATCAACGGGGAGGACGCAGAGACAGACTCACAGGACTAGACAGACAGAAACTACACAGATCCTAACAGTACCCCCTCCTCAAGGGGCGGCTACCAGACGCCCAAACAGAAAAGTCCAAAAAAGAACACAAAACAACCCAACAGGGTGGGTGGAGGGGCGACGGAAGGAGGGCTAGAGTCCAGAAAAACAGTCCGAAACAAAGAAAACAACCCACCAGGGTGGGCGGGGAGGCGGGCGTCGCCGGCGCAGGAACCGGAGTTGCCGGCGCAGGAAGCAGAGACGTGGAAGCGGGTCCGGCGGTCTCTTCCGCCGGCGCAGGAACCAGAGACGTGGAGCCGGGTCCGGCGGTCGTTCCCGCCACCGCAGCAGGAGGCCCTCGGGCCCGTGGGGCCGGCTGGAGGCCCTAGAAGGCCGGCAGAGGGGCCAGCCGGCAGGANAAAATTTGTTAACAGTTGTAAGTGTTGTTAAACTATACGATCACATCTAAAAAAAAAAGAGAAATAAAAGAATTCTGAGGAGCGCTGGTGGAGCCTGTCGGACCACTTGGCTGCAGTCAATCACATTGTGAGGAGTTTTTCATCTTTTGTTGTGCTAGGTGACCAACAACATAAAAAGAAGAGTTACATATAGAGGAGAAATTATGATATGAAACTTTAAGCTGATATCAATATCTAATATTGTTACTGCTGTTATGTCAGTATTTACAAATAAACACTGTAAGAGTTTGTGCTTGAGACTCATTTTGTTTTATTAAATCAGTTTCCATTTTTTTATATTCTTGTGGCAAAACGTTTCTGTGAAGAAGTTTCTTCTGAGTTGAGAAATTAGTCCTTACTCTTTCTTTTGGAAAAGTGACTCAGCCTTTGAAAACTATAGACTGACCGTTAATTATTCATTTTTTATATTTTCAAGACTTTTAGGTTCTCCAGCTTTAAAATGTGATAATATTCATACACCATGTAAATGTAGCAGACCAGATCACACGGGGAGTCCAGCCGTTTGTGACCACGGCAATTATTAGGTTAGTAAAATCTTTCTTCCACAGCAGCTGTAGCTTTCAGGTGTCCTCAATCACAATCACAAGGTTGCTGGCTAACATGTGACGTTAGCTTGACAAGTAAGTTATTGGAAAGCAAGTGATGAGAAAAACAAGATTGGATCATAAAACAACAAAATTAAACTTAAAGAGTTTAGATCAACTGCTCATCTGTTATGTATTTCAGTGCTAGTTCGTTTAGAACCACATTAACATACCTGGAGGTTCCCAGATGGTTTCCAGCTAGTATCCAGCAGTCTGAGCTGATGATCGATCTCTGGTAAATACTGTTGGATATTTTGCTCCAGCAGCAGTTAGTCGTTCTCTGAGGATGAACCGAAGATTTATTGTTCTTGATGACACAGAAATATTCAACTGACACAGAAAACAAACAAACAAAAAAAACAACAACACGTCTTTTAATCTATGATAAGGAGGCCTGGAAGCTAACGCTGCTAGCGCCTTTGTCCCCCGGAAGTCTCAAACGGAAGTTTTCCCCAGAAACACGTATGGCCCTTTCAGGTTCCGCCTCTCGTCGTCTTTTCTTTTTTTTTCTCTCCAGATGTTTTAGCTTCTGCCCCACACATGATCTTAGAGTCTGAATAAATTAAGCATGAACTAAAACATGGCTGCCGACTGAAAAATATGTAAACTTTTAAACATGAGTATACTCATACATATACTTTTTATACATATACATATGTTGTTGGATTAAAATATATCTTAAAGAAAGATTTTTATTAATTTTAGAGGTAAGGTAGTTTTGTTTGCAGGCTATATAGCACGTTTCCAGCAGCAGGACAATTCAATGTTCTTTACATGGTTAGAAGGAAAATAAAACAAATAAGTCACCACCAGGTGGAGGTCAGTGGACAGCTCTGCCTCTCTCTCCACCTGAGTGTCAAGACATGCGGCAGCATATCAGATGAGACAACAAAGTCAATGATCAAACTGTAGCCTAGGGTGTCCTGGTGCCAACAGCACATATGGACACCCTCATACTTTAACATGGTGCTCATCATGGACAATCCATGATGAGCACAAAAGTCCCACCACAGAAAACCACTCGGGTTCCTCCCAATCATACCCCTCCAGATCTCACTGTCATTGCCCACGAGCATTGAAGTCCCCCAGCAGAACTAGGGAGTCCACAGTGTGGGCGCCCTCCAGTACTCTGTTCAAGGACACCGAAAAGATGGGTAATCTGAATTGATGTTTGTTGTACAATTACAAACAGACAGAACCCGTCGCCCCACTTGTCGGCAGAGGCAGGCTCCCTTCCTGTTCACCAGGGTGAACCCCAACGTACAGGGACCAAGCATACCATAACAACAAGGATGTCCATTCCCACTCAGTGTTCGTCACCAGGGGCCACTGCAGAGTGAAAGTGTCCAACCGCTCCCAAGGAGCAAGCGCCATACGTCAGGTGAGTCCGACTATTTCTGTCTGGGAACCTCTCAACCTCACACCAGCTCAGGCTCCTTCTCCACCAGAGGCGACAATCCACATCCTTCAGCCACCATCCATCACATGTTGCACCCTGTGCCTTTAGCCCCTCCTACAGGTGGTGAGCCATGGGGGGCATCCACTTCCACATTGTGCCCCACCTCCATGCCTGGCTCCAGAGTGGGGGCTGGTGACCCGTATCCAGGTGAGGGAACATTTGGCTCATTGTACTCATCATACCAGGTCTTTTAAAGGTTTAATAGTCCATTTTAAATGATACATTGATATAATACAAAAAAACTAAACCTTTTAAAGAGGACTTTGCAAAAAGTGGATCCTTTACCAATATAAGCAAAATAATTACATAAAACAAAACACAGCAGCAGGAAGAAAATCCAACAGTAAAAGTAAAATAAGATAGGATGAAAAAACTAAAGGGAGAGGGAGATAGTTGTTTATTTGCTGTCTGAAGGGAAACTAGTTGTCCTATACTTTGAAAAACCTTGATTTCAACCATTCAGGAGTTTTCCACAGCTAAGAGAGGAGGACTGGTCTACAAACTGGGATCCAGCACCAAGATGTACAGCCTCCATAGCTTTACCATAATTCTGTCATCACTCCATTGATTAAAAACAAAAGGTCACCTGACACCGTGTGTTTATGTCATTGCCCTTTCAACCATTTCACCAGACATTTGAACTTTTACTGGTGTATAAAAAGAGCGTATTTAAAATTTGGTGGCGGCAATGGCAGGAGCTCATTTTCAAAAAGAAACATTTACTTTCAACTGCGGTCAAACACTTGTTCAGTACGCGGGACTGCTGCAGCTGTTTATCTACTCAATGAATTCAACTGGACTTCCTTTGATAGAAATTGTTTTACAACATGGCAGAAACTCAACTTGACTGCACTGGATTATGACAAAGACTAAATAGGAAACAATGCAGATGATGGAATCAATTTGATACGACTCGTTTGGGAATAGATTACTTTATAAATCAGACATGTCTGCTCTGTAAAACACCTTAGAACAACATCTGTAGGGAATTGCTTCATTTAGGCTCCCCGCCCATATGAGTTCTTGTATGAAGAGCCAAACTACTGCGGTGTCTAAAAGACTGATCACCATCGTCACAAGAGTAAGGCGTCTCAATTATGAGTTCCATAGTGATCCATCAAAATCGTCTCACTCATGAAAGATTCATCGCAAATGTCACAAGGACAAAGTTTCTTTCTCATGTGAATTTTATAATGATTTTTCAGAATAGTCTTAGTAATGAAAGATTTATCACAAATTTCACAAGAATAAAGCTTGTCTTCATCGTGAATTCTTCTGTGGCGAGCCAAACTACTGCAGTGTCTGAAAGATTTATTACAAGAGTCACAAGAATAAGGTTTCTCACCCGTGTGAGCAACATAGTGATCTTTCAGATTAGTCTGAGTCTTGAAAAGTTTATCACAAGTGTCACACTGATATACCTTCTCATCTGTGAGGGTTTCTGAAAGATCACAGAAATCTTTCAGAATAGTCTCAGTCATGAAAGATTTGTGAGTTCTTCTGTGGCGAGCCAAACTACTGCTGTGTCTAAAAGATTTATTACAAGTATCACAAGAATAAGGCTTCTGACCTGTATGAGTGCTATAGTGATCTACCAGATCAGCCTCAGTCAAGAAAGATTGATCACAAGAGTCACAGTGATACATTTTATCTCCTTTGTGAGTTTTATAGTGAACTTTCAGAATAGTTCTGGTCATGAAACGTTTATCACACAACTCGCAAGAATAAAGCTTCTCTCCCCAGTGAATCATTCTGTGACGAGTCAAGCTACCGCTGTATCTAAAAGATTTCTTACAAGTGTCACAAGAATAAGGCTTCTCTCCTCTGTGAATTAATCTGTGACGAGTCAAACTACTGCCATGTCTAAAAGATTTACCACACAAATCACAAGAATAAGGCCTCTCTCCCATGTGAGTTCTTCTGTGACAAATCAAACTACCGTGTTTTCTGAAGGATTTATCACACAACTCACAGAAATAAAACTTCTCTCCCACGTGGGTTCTTTTGTGACGAGTCAAACTACCGATGTATCTAAAAGATTTGTCACACATGTCACAAGAATAAGGCTTCTCTCCCCTGTGAATTATTCTGTGACGAGTCAAGCTACTGCTGTGTCTAAAAGACTTATGACAAAACTTACAAGAATAAGCCTGCTCATATGAGTGGCTTTCCATGTCCACAGGTAAGTATGGAAGCATTCTGCAATGTTTGCCTCTTAATTTGCGAGCCTTTGGCTCCAGATTCGTATCCCGGCTTTCTGAGTCTTTCTGATTGTTTCCTTGCTGATGTGGGTCCTCAGCTTCGAGGCCATTTGCATAGAGGAGTTGGTTCTTGTTCGGTTCTGCTTCACTGCCGTCTTTTAGTTCATTAGTAGAAGTCACTGTAATGCTGTCAGTCTCCTGCTTCACTACAAGCTGATCTTCATCCTGATTACCGTAGAAATCCTCTTTTTTCTCTTTTATGTTCATCAGTTCTGGATCATTTTTAATCCTGAAAGGTTCTAGTTCTCCTTGATTTGCAGGTCCTAGTTCCTCCTTTATCTCTACTTTTGGTTCATTGTGGACTCTTCCTTCATGAGTTACCAGAGAGGACCTGGTTTCCTGCATGACTAAAAATTGTTCTTCATCTTGAGAGATCCACAGTTCAACATGCTCTTTTTTGATTGGTTGTGTTTGTGGTCCGTCTTGTGCCTCGGTCACCTGCTGTAGGTCTGGTTCTCCCTGTTCCTCCTTTATTTCTGTAGTATTTGGCATTTTGTGGTCAACAATGGAGTTTCTCTCTTCAGTTATGAGACTTTGATCAGCAGGACCAACACACTTAGACATGATGCAGTGGAAAGCCTGGTGGAATCAAAAACAGCAGAACAACTTTAATGTAGTGATCCGAATTTTCAAATTTAGTTTTTTCTTTTTTGAAGTTTTCAGATGCTGGCCAATCAAACGTAGAAGACTCTGGAACAGATAACCTGATACTGGTTTGCTTCAACTGTTGGGGAGTATGAAGTGTTTGTGATGTCTGCTCTTACGTCTTAGGCTGTTTTTTTGTTGTTGTTGCTGTTTTCATATTTTGAGCCCATTAATTGGTGGACGCTCTCAGCTTCACTTGCATCAACTATAAACCATCTTTCAGGAATGATTCTGCTCTGCTAGTGAAATGCTCAGCGCAACAAAGACGCTTGCAGTCTGGGGTATTATTTCTTTACACTCAACATCATTTATCAGTACATGGTCTAAGGCAGTGGTTCCCAAACATTTTCTGGGCCCCCCTATGGATTACAAATTACAAATAGCTGTCTGGTTGAACGACGTTTGTGAGAGAGTGGGGGGAGAAGAGGATTCTTAGAGACTCCCTGTCTCTAAGAATGAGCGGGGTGTGGGGGATCGACTTCTTTTGGGGGCAAAATGAATGTACGTAGCTGAAAATAGACACCAACATCGGTAGCCTACAAGGTACTTGTTAAGCTTAAGGTTATGTATTGATATTAGCTAGTCATCTTTTAGCTAACATTAGCTAGTCATCTTTTAGCTAACATTACCTGCATCCAGCAGCTTTACTCAACTCAGTCGGTTAATTTGGGGGAAAAACTGTGAAAAGTTCTTTGCGTTTTGCTGGTTTGCTGCCGTGATTCTAACACAAACCTACGTAGCTCCGCCCAGCAGCAGCAGGTCTCCTTCACAGGTGTAAACCCAGCGCAAGCGTCGTAGCGCTCATGTTGCGTTTAAAGGCGGCTCGGTAAAACAGGTTACAACATGTTAACAACGGATTAAACAGTTTTAACTGATGATGAAAGTGACAGAGGACACAAATATGGGAAGTGTGGAAGCCTCTACTGTATCAAATTGACAGTTATAACAGAGAGTTGGCCATTCTAAGGTAAAAACCCAGCGCATACAGTGTTCACGTTTTTTTTTTTTTTTTATCCATCCAGACGGTGACCCCCTGCAATGGCACGGCGTCCCCCGTAGGGGCGCGCCCCACAGTTTGGGAACCCCTGGTCTAAGGTATGACTACAGGAGTAGGAAGGACTGTTGATTCTTTGAGTAAAGCCAATTTAGACTAAGATAGCATTAAAGGCTACATCTAGGCTGAGTCTTTCAGTGTCAGCGTGAACATCAAATTCCCCACTATTAGGACCTTATCAGTACTCAAAATTAAATCAGAAAATAAAAATCTGACTTCTGATTTAAAAATTGAGAGTGAGGGCCCAGTGGACAATACAAAACAACAAAAAAGTGGTTTTATTGCTTTGTGATTAGGCTGAGAAAAACAAAAGGCTCAATGTTTAAAAGAACTGCAGCTGTTCATATGCCTGAGATTGACAAATAAATCTGAATGAAAAAAATGTTTGCTTCCTCTCTACCATGCCCAATTCTTCGAGGAATATAAAAACTTTCATAATTAATCGTTGGCTCCTCCATATCAGCAGTTTTCATGCTGCAGCCTCGTTTCTGAGAGAAAATGAAATAAACCTGATTATTATAAATCAAGTGTTTGAAAAAAAGAGATTTTGTGTCCAATATACCACATCGTCTTTTTCTGTACGATCAGGGTTGTATTTATTTTTATGGCATTTTCATGATTTGCACTTTTTAGGTTAATCTTTAATCCATTTTATTTTGGCTGGGGACAAGACACTGTCTTCAAATACTCGGCGCTCATCACGGTTTTCCCCTCAGACTTTGGAAACAGCAGTCAAATCTGGACAAAATTATAGGTCAATGTTCAGCCTTCCACTCATCAACAAAGTGATTAAACGCTCCTTGAACACTCAGAGAATTGGGTTTATAATTACAGAATATTTGGGAATTTGTTTTTCAAAAATGATCGTGGAGTTATTTGGATCCACTGTACTCTCCTCTAAACAGATCTAAGCTGAAATATTCTTGGGAAACTTTTAAACCGTTTCTGTTTCGTATATCGGCGTCAGTTCACACAGAACCGTGCAGTTAGCATACCAGAAGGTTCCGAGATGATTCGGCTTTGCAGCTGGTCTCCAGCAGGTCGACCTCTTCCTCTTGCTGGATGTTTTGTTTTCAATATTTCTGCAGCAGCAGTTTGTTGCTCTCTAATGATGAACCAAATACATTGTTACTGCAGACACTGAATAATTCAATTCAAACATCTGTCTTCTAATCGACGATAAACAAAGGGAAGACTGGAAGCTAAGGACTTGTTATTTACTTCCGCCGGAAGTGTCACGCGAAATGTACCCCATAAACAGTTTTGGCCCTTGGGAGTTCCGCCGCCTGCCATAAACCACATGATTTCAAGGTCTGAATGAACTCAGTATTATCTAAAATAACAACTAAAACATGGCTGACATATTTATCTTTGGGATGGATTCTTATAAACTTTAGGAGTATTTCAATATAATTCAACATGTGACCACCGGGGCAGCAAATGTTAAAATATAAGGAAATAAATTACATAAATAGACGTTATTAGGGACTAAACCTTATCTAGCATAATAATAAATCTGTCTTTGTCATTCTCTACAAATTATTTGATTGTATTTTCAATTTAAAAAATAATTCATCCTTCCAGTTAAAATACTTTAACCTCACAATGCTAGTAACTCTCAACTAAACTACTAAACAAATAATGAAATACACACCGAAAACAGTAAACAGCAACAAATGAAAATAGTTCAGTATAAACACTGAATTTTGAGAAAACAGTTCTTGTTTCCACATTGTGTGGAATTTGGAAATGAGGCCAAATTAGCTTTCAGGTAATTTAGATTAGTTTGCATCAAAACTACAAGTGCTGGTCAAAAAACTAGAGTATAACAAAGAACTTGATTTAAATCAGTAATTCCATTCAAAAACCAACATTTATATATTATATTCATCCATTATATACAGACTAATATATTTTAAATATTTCTTTTAGCGTTGATGATTATTACTGACAAGAGGAGAGGAGGTCCAGTCAAAGTTTCCACAGTCAGTGATGGTTTGAGGTTCCATGTCATCTGTTGGTGTTGGTCCACTGTGTTTTCTGAGGTCAAAGGTCAATGCAGCCATTTACCAGGAAGCTTTAGAGCACTTCATGCTTCCTGCTTTATGGAAATGCAGATGTAATTTTCAAACAGGACTTGGCACCCGAACACAGAGCCAAAGCACCAGTATCTGGTTTAAGGACCTAAATTCTATAGAAAATCTCTGAGATTTCTCTGGCAATCTGAAGATTGCCAAAGACAATCTTCCTATTGTCAAGAGGAAGATGTGATGCACCAGACCAAACAATTCATTAGAGCTGAAGGTCACCATCAGAGCAACCTGGGCCCTCACCTGAGCAGAGCCACAGACTGAAGGACTCCATGCCACGCCGCATAGCTGCAGTAATATGGGAAAAAGGAGCCCAACTAAATACTGAGAGCTGAACATGTTCATGCTTCTCAGTTGGCCAACATTTGTAAAAATCCTTTTTTGTTTTGGTCCTAAGTAATATTCTAATTTTCTGAGATAGTGAATTTGGGGTTTTTATTAGTTGTGTTATAATCATCAACATTAAAAGAAAAAACATTTGAAACATATCAATCTGTGTGCAACAAATAAATGATATACAAGTTTCACTTTTTGAAAGGAATTACTGATTTAAATAATTTTTTCATGATATTCTAATTTTTTGACCAGCGCCTGTATGTTGTACATTATACACACCAGCACCAAAATATTAGAATAATGAAATAACTAAAGTTTATTTGTATTGAACATTTCAGCAGGAGTTCAAATTCAAAGTGCTTTACATGATAAACACAGAATGCAAACAAAAACAACTCAGTGTTTGAGTTGTTTTTCAGTTCTCTGGAAGTTTGTTCCAGATCAGCTTAGCATATAAGATAAGTGCTGCTTCTCCAGGCTTGGTTCTGGGGATGAAGAGCAGACCAGACTCACAAGACCTGAATAATCTAGTAATTTAATTTATTTAACTTCCACATTCCAGTAGAAGTTCAATCAGAACCGTGATGTTAACATACCTGGGAATTATGTGTCGATGGATTTTCTCTGATTTTCTCTGACTGAAGATATTTGTCACTGCAGACACTAAAATATTCACCTCACACAGCAAAAGTTGTCTACTAAACAAGGGAAATACACTTAGAAGCTAACGCTGCTAATGCTGCTAACGCCTTCATCACTTCTGCCAGAACCAGTCAGAGATTGATAGCAGAACACACTTATCACTTATTACAAAGTTCCACCTTTTGTTTTTCTCCCAGACCCTTTGTATTATGTTTTGGATTCAGTTGTTTTCTGTAGGTTGTATTTTGATTGTTTAATTTCAACCTTTACTGTTATATTTTAGAATGACAGTCCATTGGGAAAATGAGAAATCTCAAATATGAATGTCAGATTGTTCTGAACAAACAAAAAAATTCAAAACGTAATAACACAACCAATATAAACCAATGTTATGTAGCAACTACTTTAATGTGCAGTTTGTACTTCTACAACATAGATGAAAGTTTATTTCTGAATAAATGTAAAAGTTATATAAACACACATACACACCAATTCCATGTAGATGCTAATTAGCAGGGAATGAAGAAGTGGAGGAGTTATCCAAGCATTTTAAGTGCTTTGTAATATAACTATCATTG